CAGATGGAGTGCACTGAATCATGACTTACACTGATTTTGTAATCATTGAAAAAAAAAAATCGATAAATCACTTTTGGCTATCCTGGATCTATATATTACTTGTTTAAAACAGAGACTGATTAATTAAGTTCCAATCAACTTCAGTCTAAACATTGGACATGACAAAGGCACATATTACCCAGCCAACCCCGCAATGTCATTCTCACTTCTGTGGATCCGTGGAAGATGATGGTGGGATACCCTCTTGAACTGTTGCAGTCCTTGGGGTCTAGGTACAGCCACAGTGCTCTTAGAAAGGAGCTTCCATGATTTTGACCCCAGCAAAACTTAAGGAACAGTATTATATTTTTAAGTCAGGGTGGTGTTGGTGTTCCCATACATCCGTTGCCAATATTCACAGGGGGCTGCCAATGTACTTTCCACAAAAGAGCAAAGATTATTACACATAAGAAAAGAAATAGAAGTACATGGACAATTTGAAAAAAGTCTTGTCATAAACAGCAAAGAAAGAAAGATTCACCTTTGTCTTCACGGCATCTTTTACAGACATTCATCTTCACTCTAAAATTTCTTACTTATTTGACTAGTTCGTGAAAGGTGCCTTTTCTGTAAAATTCTACGTATCCACCACGTACCGCATCTTCCTGAGATACAGAGACAGGCTAACTTACAGTTCAGTGAGTAAGATCAGTAAGAAAAAAGAACAATGCTTTTTCCTGCTGCTTTGACTACTTTAAGGCTGTTAAACAGCACCTCTGCTAGTAAGACTCTTTCCTTCTGAATTGAACTTGCATTTGGCCTCTCCACCTGGCGCTCTCAGCATCGTAAAATCTCAGCATAGAAAATACAATTTCCTTGGCTAGGTAGCTTAAGCCACATGACTTCTTGAAATGCTGTTTTTTTTGCTACGGTAATATGTTTGAGCTTTTAAAAAGTCACCTTTACTGAAATTAAAATGAAACAAAATCTCATTTTTCTCTACCTTAGAATCCAAATCATAAGATAAAATTATTGACCTTCATCACAACAGGGAATTATGATCCAAGTTTCAGGAACGTCGGTCATGTTGTTAGAATGGAGAAGTTGGCACTGTTCTTAGAGAAGAGGAGATTGAGAGGACTTTTGATTGAAGTGTTCAAAATCATGAGGGTTCTGGACTGAGTTGATAGGGAGAAATAGCTCCTGTGCAACGACTGAACGCAGAGGACAGAAGTTAAAGATCATTGGCAAAAGAAGTAATGGTAACCAGAGGAAAGTGCTTTCATATAGTGAGTGATGATGATCTGGAGTGCATGACCTGAGAGTCTGATGAAAGCGTAGTCAATTGAAACTTTCAAAAAGGGAATGGTCTCATCTGAAAAAGAAAAAAATTGCAGGGCAATGGGGAAAGAGCAAGAGTTCGAGGATAAATTGCTCTTCAAAATGTGCTGCTGGATCTATTTAAGACCACCTGAGAGGACTGGCAGAGCCTCTGTTTAACATCTTCAGCTGGGCAGTATTGACTCAGGAGTTTACAGAGTATCAACCTAGAAAACATATTCAAACCTCAGGAGCGGGATTTGAACTCACATCAGGGTATGGTTAGTATTGGAATGACTCTGAAGGTGACTGCGGCCATATGCCAACAATTTCAATAACATTTCCCAGTTTACTGTTCACAGTTGCATCGAAGAGGTTACCCAGGTTCAGCATTCTCTGTTCCCTGACAGAAACAGGCAGAGTAAGCATTTGACTTTGCAATGATTGCTGGCTTTGCCATTGCTCACTGACTGCATGCCAATACTTAGATGTGTCACATCTCAGACTTAGCAGTGGCTTTCTGAGCTATTGCATCAGCAGGGGCACTGGCAGAGTGGCGGTGGTGGGATCCCAAGCACTGTCATCCACGGGGAGGCCAGCAGATTCATGCTCCAGGCGGCCACTTCCACTCCCATGGAGCGTAGTAGCATCCCTAGCAATCTGTTAGATGACAGATATCTGGACAGTATAAAATCCAGTTGTATTGACGGAGATGCAATGGATTTGACCATCATTTCCAAATTGCAAACTATGGGTTCCAAGCTCTTCAAGTCAGTTCCAGATTGCAGGGTGGGCATAATGGCAGGCTGACCAACTTGTGCATACAAGTCAGCCTTTTCATAGAAAGCCTACAGTGTGGAAACAGGCCAATCAGCCCAACAAGTCCACACGGTCCCTCTGAACAGCATCCCATCCAGACCCATCCCTGTAACCCCACGTTTCCCATGGCTAATCCACCTAATTTACACACCCCTGGACACTACAGGCAATTTAGCCATAGTCAATCCACCTAGCCTGCACATCTTTGGACTGTGGGAGCAATCTCCACACAGTCGCCCAAGGGTGGAATCAAACCCGGGTCCCTGGCGCTGTGAGGCAGTAGTGCTAACCACTAAGCCACCGTACTGCCCAAGTTGTGGATTGTGCTTGAGCTAGGTAAGAAGACTCCATAATCCACCAAATCAAAATGCTCATCAGAGTCTTCTGCGACAGAACTTGTGTGTGACCTGAGGCTCTGGAAAGCTGGTGCCTGTATGTAGTGTTTTCCTGCTCTGTCAGCTGCAGGTCAGACATACCTGACGTCTCACCCTACGCAGATTATGCTTTTAATACAATTTCAAAAGTGAGTGAAGTGTCAGCATCTGATCTGGCGTCCATGCATGTGAATGTGAGTGATAGTTCATATTCTTTATTACTCTTATCCTGCTTCTCCATCTCTTGCTCTTCTCAAAGGAGGTGGTAACAAGGGCAATAACTGTGTTTCATGAAGGGGAAGTGAAGCAAAAGCAAGAGCTGATGTTCACAGAATCCTCAGTAGCTGGTAAATCAAAAGTGCTTTTGGAATGAGTGTTTGCGATGTGGAATCAATGGGTTAGTCATGAGGACAGTGTGATCTTGGATTGTTTCAGCCCAGTGCTGGCAAAGACATCTGCAATTGGCTCCTCCAATGAGGTAATCATTGTCTCTTCATGTAGAAAAGGATGTGCCACTGTGTCTGCTTCTTACAATGTATTTCAGCTGCTCCTGATTACATCAGAACACAAGAAATCGGAGCAAGAGTAGGCCATTTGGCCCATTTGGCCTGTTCCGCCATTCAATAAGAACATGGCTGATCTTTTTTGTGGACTCAGCTCCACTCACCCGCATGCTCACCATAACCCTTCATTCCCTTACTGTACAAAAATCTATCTATCTTTGCCTTAAAGACATTCAATGAGGTAGCCTCAACTGTATCACTGGGCTGGGAATTCCACAGATTTATAACCCTTTGAGTGAAGAAGTTCCTCCTCAACTCAATTACTCTGCCACTTTGTCCTACAAGAGACTGCAAAGTGCATAATGAAAATGTATTTGGATGATGTGATTGTCAGGATTATGTAGTTGGCTGTGTGTGCAAATTGTGAGACAGGTGTGAGGTTTGCTACAGTGTTAATCTGTGAGGATATGGCAAAGTAATGCGTATTAGATAAGAAACCTGATAAATGGTGATTATAGGCGAGTGATGGGGGTTTGGTCCACAGCACACTGTTGAGTTCATGAGATAACACAGTGTGGAGCTGGAGGAACAGGCAGCATCAGAGGAGCAGGAAAGTTGACGTTTCAGGTCAGGACCCTTCTTCACAAATGGGGAGGGGGAAGGGAGCTCCGAAATAAATAGAGAGAAGAGGGGTGGGGCTGGGGAAGGTAGGTGGGATGGTGATAGGTGAGTGCAGGTAGGCAGTGGTGGGGATTGGTCAGTGAGGTGGGAGGAGCAGATAGGTGGGAGAGGAGATGGACAGGTTGTGCCAGGTCAAGGAGGTGGGGATGAGAGGGAGGGTTGGTCATGGAATGAGGCCAGGGGTTGGAGAGATTTTGAAACTGGTCAAGTCCACATTTAGGCCATTGTGCTGTAGGCTCCCCTCCTCCCTCCGGAAAGACCACTGTTGAGTTTATGATGCATTCTCTGACCTTGAACACTGATGTGAAGTCATTGGCCTTTCTGTGGAATTGGATCCAGTTCATCTGGCATTGATCACTGTGGCTATCTGGTTGCACTGCCTTTGCAAACGGTGTACAGGCCATAGCATGAGCAGATCCATTTTCTCGTTCACCTCCTGCAGATCTCCACCTCAGCAGGGAAACAAATCTCAAGGCCCACCCTACCACATTGAGCTGTTATTAAGTGACCCTCAACCAGAATCACTGAAATTTCTTTCCTCCAATCAGTGGCTAGATATTCTCAATGTCATGGAGGTGATCGTGAGAACTGAGCTTTCTAATAAAATAAAAGCATATAATGCTCAGGAAATACTCAGCAGTTCAGCTTTAGCTGTGGCTAGAGGGCAAGTTATTGTTTCTGTTCAACGACCTTTCATGTTATCTGAATAAAAGTAAACAAGATCTGAAACACTAACTCTCTTTCTCTGTCCTTTGATGTGGCCGGCCTGTTGTATATTTTCAGCATTTTCTGTTCTTATTGCAAAACCCACTCATGGCATTGAATACACTCAATCTCTGTACATACTTTCACAGACAAAGCATCAGAAGCAGCCATCATGATACATGCTTTTGATTTACCACTCAATTAACAATGGTTTAACAGAGTGCTAAACTTAAATGGAATTTTACTTGCTTCCACTATCCTTTTTATTCAGTCCTTTTGATGCTAAATTGTATTTGTAAAACTAATACCAAACAAATGCAGGGGTGATCTGAGCAACTGACCAAAGGTTTTTAATAACTGTTCTCCAGTTTTACAAAGAACAATCACAGCTCCTTAATACTTGAATTATCTACAGAATCTGTAAACTGTTGCAGATTTCTAGAGGATGTAAGATTGCTCTTACAGTGGATCAATAGATCAATCAATCACTCAAACTCAAATGCCTTTTACATTTGAGTATTTGAGCATTGTTCCAATCAAATTCCTTAAAGCAGTCAAGGAAATTTGCACTCTGTAATTCGCACAAAGTAATCAGAGCAGTTGGCTCATTGCTGCTTACCTGTTTGGGTGAGAAGAGGCGTGTAAGGAACTTTGGGCTCCAGTGCAGTCATAGGAGGAGGTAGCATGGGGTTTGCAAAGCTGCGCAGCGGGTGAGTGGGTCGGACACAGGCTGTGGGAATCGTTCTGCTCGGAGCCTCCTCTCCCGATGGGTGCTCAGGCTGTGTCTGGCTTAACACAGCTGGCTGCTGAAGGTGCGATGTTTGAGCCTCAGGCATGGCTTTCAGAAGGAAAACAACAGTTACATGGAGTTATTTTCCATTATATCAAGTCTAAAACACAGAAGTGGGCCATTTAGCGCAACTGATCAACACTGGCAATTATATTCCACAGGGACTACATCCAACAGCTTGTTATCTAATATTATTATTATACCCTCCTACTCCTTGAGAGTGACAGTAAATAAATATTCCAGGACATCCACAGACTCTACAACATTTCCACCTCCATACTGCTTATACTACAATCTCAAAATGATTCATTAACGACACTACTTTATATAGCTCTCTGAAGAACAGGGAATGCTACAATACCTTTGGAACTACCAAGGGATCAATTACATGACTGGCATGGTGCACCATGGACATAATGGGCCTGATTTTCCAATAAGTGGCAACCACACGTGGATTACCAATCCACTCTGACTTTGGTTCTGGTAAAATGGAACTCTCCATTTCTGACAGGAGATTCCAAACATGGCTCCTTCAGCAATGCGGAGTGTACTTGAACCCAAACAGATTCCACGTAGTAGGGGATGGTCATGGGGGAAATCAAACCACTTTGCCTGTTTCATGGCAGTAGTTGCTATACTCTGTGATTTAAATATCCAGGAGCATAGTGAACCACTTTCACTGCTCCTGCAAAAGTAAGTATGCAAGAGTGAGATTACAGTCAAGATGGTAGCATGTCAGGTGGGTAGGGTGGTAAGTTAGGAGCCAGGTAAGCAAAGTAACTGCACAGAGCCAGCCCAAAATCAGTCCCCTGAACTGAGAAGATTCTAATCTCCTGGTTATATTGGTCGGCCAAGGCTTTCCTGATTGGCTCAGGTTAACAACTCCAATCAATGACCTCATAGCCAATGAAGTGAACCTGGTTCTAATCACTACATCCCTCCCCTACTAATTCTGGGGATAGAAACATAGAAGATAGGAACAGACCTTCCTGGGGGAAGGAAGGCAGGATGGTGATAAGTGGATGCAGGTAGAGGGTAGTGGGGATTGGTCAGTGGGAAGGGTGGGGCAGATACTTGAGAAAGAAGATGGACAAGTTGTGTCAGGTCAAGGAAGCAAGGATGAGACGGAGGGTTGGACATGGGATGAGGCCGGGGGTGGGGAGTTTTTGAAGATGGTGAATTATATGTTGAGGCCATCGGACTGTAAGCTCCCGAGGCGGAATATGAGGTGTTGTTCCTCCAGTTTATGTGTGGCGTCATTGTGACACTAGAGGAGGCCCAGGATGGACATGTTACCAAGGGAGTGGGAGGGGGAGTTAAAATGGTTAGCAACCGGAAGGTGTTGTTGATTATAGTGTATCAACATATTTCTAAGCTTCCTTCCCCTCCCCAGTCCTGAGGAAGGGTGTAAACCCGAAACATTGACTTTCCTGCTCCTCTGTTGCTGCCTGACCTGTTGTGTTCCTCCAGCTCCACACTGTAATGATAATTTACTAGATGTAATGTTGAAAGATATGATTAACTGTTACTTGAAAAGGAATGAAATAATCAGGGTCAGTCATCATTGTTTTCTTAAGGGAAGGCTGTGTAGTAGAAACCAAATAGGGGAGGTGATGGTCGAGTGGCATTATCATTAGACTATTAATCCAGGAGCTCAGCTAATGTTCTGGGGACCTGGGTTAAAATCCCACTATGACAGATGTGGTAATTTGAATTCATTTCAAAAAAATCTGGAATTGAGAGTCTAATAATGGCCATGAAACCATTGTTGATTGTCAGAAAGTCCATCTGGTTCACTAATGCCCTTCAGGGAAGGAAATCTGTCATCCTCACCGGGATGTGACTCCAGGTCCACAGCAGTGGTTGACTCTCAATTGCCCTCTGAAAAGGCCTAGCAAGCCATTCAGTTGTATCAATCTCCACACAGTCAGAAAGAAATTAAATCAGACAGATCACACGAAATTAATCTAGGCACTGGAAAAGCCAACTTCAGAAACAGCCCTGTTGACCCTGCAAACTCCTCCTTACTAACATATGGAGGCTAGTCACAGACTAGTCAAGCAACAGGCTGACACAGTCATACTCACAGAATCATACCTGATAGAAAATGTCTCACCACCATCCCTATTGTTGGGTATGTCCTGTCTAGCCGGCAGGACAGACCTAGCAGTGGTGGCAGCACAGTGGTATTCAGTCAAGAGGGAGTTTCTCTGGGAGTTCTCAATATTGACTGTCTGTCCCATGAACTCTCACGGCTTCAGGTTAAACATGGTCAAGGAAACCTCCTGCTGATTACCACTTACCATCCTCCCTCAGCTGATGAATTGGTACTCCTCCATGATGAACAACATTTGGAGGAAGCTCTGAGGATGACAAGGGCACAAAATGTACGCTGGGTGGGGGATTTCAATGTTCACCACCAACAGTGGCTAGGCAGCAGAAATACTAATTAAGCTGAGACAACAAGGTGCAGGGCTGGATGAACACAGCAGGCCAAGCAGCATCATAGGAGTAGAGAGGCTGACGTTTCGGGCCTAGACCCTTCATCAGAAAAGGGGAGGGGAAGGGGGTTTTGAAATAAATAGGGAGAGAGTGGGAGGCAGATAGAAGATGGATAGAGGAGAGGATAGGTGGAGAGGAAACAAACAGGTCGAAGAGGCGGGGATGGAGCCAGTAAAGGTGAGTGTACGTAGGGAGTTAGGAAGGGGATAGGTCAGTCCAGGGAGGACGGACAGG